AGGGGGGGGGGGGGGGGTAGGGAGGGGGGGCGTACTCATGTTAGTCATGCCGTCGTTGTTAGACAATTGACCACGCGTCCTCGAGAGGACAGAGCGTGGGACGGCGGGGGGAATCAACCGCATTCCTCAGGAGAGATGTCCACCCGAAAGCGCAGCAACAGCAGCAACAGCAGCAACAACATCAACGTCGCCTCCGGTACTCACCAACCCGACACAAGCCGCGCCAGCAGAGCCAGCTCTTGCGGCGCGATCTTGGAGATGTGATATCTGCTGCTTGCCGCGAGGGTAGCCGACAGTGATCCCAGCGACGCCGACTCGCTCTCTGACATCTGAGACCAGTTTCATACATGTTCGGCCGACGTAATGCTTGAGTTGGGGGTACATGTTCGGATTCAATTGTCAGAGGTAAAGTTCGTGAATATATACTAGAACTGCGAGAGCGTTGATCAACACATGTCAGCGGTGAAATTCTTGGGTTTACGGAAGACGAACTCGTATCCCACCTCCGAAAACACTATCCAAGGGATGGTGTTTTCACCAGCCAAGAACGAAAAGATAGGAGCATCGAAGATGATTAGACACCACCGTAGTCTTGGCTACTCCTCCCGCAGAGGCCGCCGGGCTGGAGGGTATTCATGATATGCTGTAGCAAGGGCGTGGCGTCGCTGATACCCAACTCAACAGTCGGCTTGCATCGAACGGACAGGCGTCAACGTTGACGTCTACACACCCACAACGCAAGACTGGCGTCTTCTCATTGGCCAGCAGGTTAACGCGGTCGATGCAGTTTCACACACACACACACAAAGACGCCCCCCCCTCGGCCAATCGTTTCCCGCGCACCTTCACCCCTTCCGGAAGCCCGGCATTCAGCTCTCGTATCTTGCCTTCCACCTTCGACAGCACCCCTGTCTCGAACGTCGCGTAGGTGGTCACGGGGAAGTGCCCCCCCCCCACCCCCGAAGCCGCGCCCGCCCCCCCCCTCAGCCCCGGCGGCGGCGGCGCGGCGTTCGCGAAGCCGGTGGGGTCGCCGACGCCGCTGAAACCGGCCGCTGCCGCCGCGCCTGCTGCGCCAGCGTCCATGCTGACAAGAAAGAGCAACACAAACGGAAGCATGAAAAGGGGAGGGGGCTCGACTCAGTCATTCAATGGCGCTCTCGGCATAGCCAAGCAGCATACCAGTCGTTGTTAAGTAGTGCGGCGTGTCGTTGAAATCGCTCCCCTAACACCCGTCAAGTCCTCCGCTATGTTCATGTCTTGGACTACAATAGACCGGCCGCGTACAACGTTCCCGCCAGCCAAAAGCGGCGACGGACAGAGCAGCCCGCGCGATGCAGCGAGAGGTAGCCAACAAAAGCCCAGAGCCAGGAGAAAGCGGTAGCTGTACTGGGTCATAGGAAGTGGGTTGAAAAGGCGGGAATTGATATCGATAGGATACACAGGCTAGGGAAAACACTATTGATCCACCTTCGGCAAAGTAGGAGAGAACGATTGCCAATCGGTGATTGGTCGAATACTCCGTCCTCTCAAGGACGTGTGGTCAACGGTCTACCCGCTAAGGCATCCAAAAAATAAGAGTATGCCCGCCCCCCCCAACCTGGCAAGGGACGATTGGCCATCGGTGATCGGTCATGTGGGAACAATGCTCCGTCCTCTCGAGGACGAGTGGTCAACGGTCTACCCGCTAAGGCATGCAAAACATACGAACAGCGACCCCCCGTTGCGGCGACGATGCTGTTTCGCTTTTCGGTCCACGCCATGCCTTGCTGTCGTTGTTGTTGGTTGAGTAGTGATCGTGATCGTGATCGTGATCGTGCCCACGGGAGGGAAAGCAGGGGGATTCGCTCACTCACCCGATCGTAGGCGCGCTCTCTCCCGCTCTCTTCGTCAGGTGGTCGGCGATCTCGTTGAGGTAACTCTGCGGCAGCTCGTTCTTGTCGATGAAGTTCTGCGCCGCCACGAAGGGGTTCTGCCCGTTGTTGTACCTGTTCGTCGTGTGCATGCATACACACACCGCATACACGGGGTCCCCGGGTCATGCATGGCCTTCAGAAGCGTTTCAGCGGCACTGAGACTTGGTCAGCCGGTTAGCGCGGGTCGATATCAACAACAAAGAGCACACGGGGAGCCTGATCACGCATTTTCATTGGTCAGGTTGGTGCGGTCAGTGTATACGCGTCTATGTACACACAAAACGATTGCATATAACGAGAACAAGAGTAACAACAAGAGTAACAACAATAACAACAGCAACAACGAAAAACACGAAACGGCTGGGTGAAACGTAGACGACCAAAAAAACGCACCACGTTTTCTCGAGCACGTCAAACAACTATTTGGGACACGGGTAGCACATTGTCGGTAATAATTCCGGCCATCAGTTTCTTAAGCAGGAACAAAAAAGGGATACAAGTATGCCTCAAAGTTGTTGGAGAATGAGACCAAACCTCAAAATTTTCACGCTGCGTCGGAAAAAATCCCCAACTTACACCGGCATTCAGGAAGGTCCTTCTACATTGATAAAAGGAGAGAGCGTAGCCATCAGCAACCAACCCCCCTCGGTCGACGTCCACCCAACAACATGACCCACCCGATCTGCAGCTTGCGGACCGCTCCGCCGACCCCCTCCACCTCGATGGGGTACACCCTGTCGAACGTCTCTCCGTCCACCTGACCAGCCTCGCTAGCTCCCATTACCTGGCACACACCACGGGGTGGCGTACGAGAGAGGAAAAAAAAACAAACGCGACGCTTAGATATGCAGCAGCGCATCACGTTGGAAAACAGCCAGTAAGGATGGGTGTGATGGTAACGACCAGACACGCGTTAGACTTTCGACCGGAGGAAGTAGCGCACAGAAGAAAAAAAAAACACGACAAAATAAAATTCCGAAGTCCCACGACTGCTGTCCAAGGCAGAGAAGTAACCAATATTTGCCTTGTTTTCGCTGACACATACAAACCATTTCATACACCACCCGCTTGGCCTTTCTCACCCCCCCCTGCCGAAGATCATACTAACTCCCTCTCTGTCTCTTTGTGTCACAGTCGGCCTCTCTGTCTCTGTATGTTTGTCTATCTGTCTGTCTGTCTGTCTGTGCGAAAGACCGCGGCTCACCTCCCCGACCTCGACCCCCATCAACGACACCGCGTTCCACAAAATCGAGTCGGTAAAACCGTAAAACGAACCACGGCGCCCCGCTCTCTCCTTGCGAATGAAAGACCGCGGCTCACCTCCCCGACCTCGACCCCCATCAACGACACCGTGTTCCACAAAATCGAGTCGGTAAAACCGTACAACGAACCACGACGCCCCGCTCTCTCCTTGCGAACGAAAGACCGCGGCTCACCTCCCCGACCTCGATCCACGTCGACGACGCCGCGCTCCACTGCGCAGCTATCGCCTTCCCGGCCCTCTGGAACACCTGTACCTGCCCCTCCGACTTCCCTCGGGTGGCGTGCTGCTCTTCCCACTTGGGTAGGGCCGCGATCTCCACCGCGCTTGGCCCCTGAAGTTCGGGGGGTTCCCAAGAACAGGCGGAATAACCGGGCGTTACTGGGTGGGGGGGTTGGGGGGGGGGGGTGTACTCATAGTCGTGCATGCCGTAGTCGTTTGACCATTGACCTCGCATCCCTACAAAGCCGGGACGGAGCACGCCGGGTTCTCACCGGACCAGGCTCTCACATCACCAAGCGCGAAGCGCCGTGAGGTATTTGGCGAGTCGCATGAAGGGTGAGCTGCATCCTGCTAAGGGTATTCGGCATCTTGTGCTTACTTCCTTGCGTACGGATGACAGCTACGTATGACTTAATTTATTTTCTGGTGCTTTCACTTCCAGAGACAGTTGTAAGCACTGTGTAACTGCCTCGAGGAAGCTTGACCATTTTAACACAACGTGGTGCGATCATCCCCCGTTGCGCGGAGTGAGGTTTCTCGACGCCGCACAACATGATCTACTCGACCACCATTATGGTTACCGCCAAAAAAAAAACCGAGGTAAAAAAAAAAAAAACGGTAACCTGGTTGCCGAGTTCACGAAGTGAATTGGCTTGTTTTACAACGTCGTTGCCAATCGACGAAAACCCAATCCCGATGGCAACCACCGAGTGGGGGGCTTGTTTTACAACGTCGTTGCCAAGCGACGAAAACCCAAACCCCGATGGCAAACACCGGGGGGGGGCGGGGGGGGAGTCCAGTATGAAACGTGGAAAAAGGCGATGCAGGCGAAAACAAGCGTAGCATCACGTCGCCGCGACCCGCAGGGTGTAGGCGTGCTGTCAAACCTGCCTTGTACTAACTCAGCAAAGATACCGGGGACCGACCGAGCGACGATAGGGTTTTCTGTACCACGTCAAAGCCACCGAACAACCACAAACCTCATACCACCACGAAAACTAACACCTAGCAGCATTGCCACCACCACCACCACCAATGTCACCATTACCACCACCAGCTACAGCAAAAGTGAAAGCATTGCCACCACCACCACCAATCAAACCTGCTTGGTCTTGGTCTGTCCATCGATGACCGACTGATCGAACGCTTGCGCCACCTCTGCGGGCGCCGCGCGCTCCGGTGCTCTGGTCCACACCCTCACGACGTGGTCCTACGCACACACAAGTCGAGACAAAGCGGCGGCGGGGACGTGCGTGCGATCATCCAACTGGTGTGTCACACATTGAAATATGTTTCAGCCACGACGATGCTCGTATTCCTTGCAATGCCGGGGCGGGGCGAGGCATGAGGGGGGTTTGTCCAAGACAACGATGGGGGGGCAATTATTTCGTTGAGTACAGACTGCTGCCGTTGCAGTTCGAATGTCTCACCACAACAACAGCAACAAAAGGCCGGCGAATTCCAACCCCCAAAAAAATGTGGCGACGCGGAATGGGTCATGATTACCCCTCCCCCCCCCCCCCCCCATACCTGGCAACCAGTGGCGAAGTCCCCGTTCGGAAGAGCGCAGACGCACCACAGCCCCGAGGGGTGCGGGATAGACTGGCCCCTCTCCGACCCCCTCCAGACGATGCACCCACCGCTCTCGTCAACGCTCACGGACTCCCCGCCGTCGCCGGTCAGAACGCATCCCTGCACACGGTGTAGAAACCCCCACCCCATCATAACAACAAGGAAAAAACGGCAACAACAACAACCGTGGACGAAGGGGTAGTCGTGAGAGTTGGCAGGAAGGCGTACCGCAAGACGCCGACAGAGACACCCCTGATCTATGTAGGATAAAAAGAGTAGGGAAAAACAATATTCAGCGACCTTTGGCACAGTAGGAAGGAATTGTTGACCGTCGGTGATCCTGTGGAACACAACGCTCCGTCCTCGCGAGCACGCGTGGTCTATGGTCTTAACAATAACGTCATGCAAAACATGAGCGCACACCCTCCTCTTTTGTCCTCTTCATTTCCCTTCTCTTCTCTCCCCCCCCCCCCTCTTCGTTGTGGCTACGCGTACACGCTTGTTCAGCACTTTTCTCTCCTCCCTCCTCTTCTCTATCGCTACATACATGGGTACGCTTGCCATCAGAAATCTCCGCTTCTATTCTCTTTCGCTACATGCGTACGCTTGCCACTAGCAATCTCTCTACTTTTCAGTTCGCTTCTCTGTTACTACGGCGGTATGCTCACCTGCAGCACGAAGGCCGGCTGCCCCTCCCTCGTGGCCGGGTGAGGCATCGTCGCCAGGGGGGTGCCGTCCAACGACCAAAGCCTGGCGCTTCCGTCGTTAGAGGTAGACAAGAACCCCATCCCGGGGGCAAGGTCCAACGACCGGACGGGGCCCGAGTGATCCCTGAGGGTCTTGATCTATCGGGACGTGGGGGGGGGGGGGGGGGGGGGACTCCTTTAAACCCTGCCCTAATCCTTAAACCCCTTACCCCCCCTTTTCGGAACGAACCACATTTCCCGCCCAAACTTCCCTTTACAAAAATAAAACCAAACCTAAGCATCATCCTTTCATTTCCCTTCCTACTTTTTAAACCGGAAGGGTGTTTTTTTACCCCTCCCCCTAAACAAAACTATTTTGGAAAACCTCCCTTTCCCCCCCAATTTTAAGGGGGGCCCCCTCCCCCCCCCCCCCCGTATTTCATGAAGGAAGAAAAAAGGGGGGACCTTGGTTTTTAAGGCCTTTCCCAACCCTGGTTAATAACTCCCCGCCTAAAATCCAAAAAGCACCCATGATCCCCCCGGCAAGGGGATTTACATTTTTTAAGGGGGCCAAAAACCGTGAATTTTTTAAAAAAAAAACCCCCCAAACCCAGAAAACACAGTTCCCCAGAAAAAAAAAAAACCCCACACC